TCATGTAGTGATGATGCTTTTCTTTAATAGATCAGTTGTTTGCTTTAATGGAAGTGTCTAGAGGAAAGCCAGAAAGGATCCATTAATAAGTGTAGTAGTATAGTGTATGTAATAACAATAAACAAATAATACTGAAAAGAATAAAATTTAAGAAGCAGAAACCTTCTTTCCCCCATCCCAATTCCTCTCCCTAGAGAGTCTTTGCTTCTAGAAAAAATGGTGATGTATATTCCCATAAATCAATTTATGTCTTCTTAAAATTTACACAGTAAGGATCATATGGTACACATCTAGGCACCTCATGCCAACTACCTCTTAGAGAACTTGAGCTGTAAGCATTTGAATAGGTGCCACTTTTTAAAATGACTGTTTCTTCTTATAAAAGAAGTGCATTTATGGATACCATGTTTGTTTTCCAACTATAAATGTTACAACAAATGAGAAAAAAGATAAATATTTTTGTTGTTATGAAATTACACACACACACAACCACATGCACGCACATGCATACAATGTACGTTGAAAGAAAGTCCTCTCAAGTCTTTCTGTAGTTTCTTTGCAGTCTAGCATCCTAAACTAGTGGATTATTTTCCTGGAGGGAATTTAATGATCATAGTAGGGTATTTGTAAGCTATCTATCCTAGAAAGACATTTTGTAAATGAAATATCAATAGCTGTAATAACAGTATGCATCCAGAAGTTATAAAAATTATAATCATACAGTGTTTTCAGGCTATAACACATTCTTGATCACATTAGTATGGACATTAAATTATTGAGTACTTCATAAATCAAAACTAAGAAATAAAAACAAAAGTAGATAAACATAAATAATATTCATTTTAACTCTCATAGGGACTAGAAGACTTTTATTCACTGATAGTAGCATTGAAATATTTTGTATCTTTTAACACTGTGTTCTTTGGTAATTAAAGGAATATGCTGAGCAGACTATATTTCAGTTGACTTAGAAATTTTTCAAAATGGAGATTTTCTTAAACACAAAATGATTTTTTTTTTTTTTACTTGCCACTTCCTCAATTTTGGGAAACATCAGATAATATATAGCACTTGATCACTGTGAGACTTGAAATCTGTCTGACATTTTCCTCAAAAAAGTGGTGAAGATCTGTGTTACAAGTATTCATCATAATGATGGTGCCAAGTATAATTTGAAATCTGTAAAAAAGTGTATTTAGGTCTCACATACATAGGATGAAGTGGCACCACTCACCATTCTGCTAACATCTAGGTTCTGGTTACATAGGTGTGTTCATGTTGTATATTTTCCTGTGTGTGTGTGTGTGCGTGTATATATATATATGCATACATACATCATGTGAAAATCTCATTAAAAATAATGCATACAATTAACCATTTTATAATAGATGGAAATAAAAAATTTGAACGTTCGCATTTTCTGAAATCTAGAATGTTATTGTTTTTATTTTTATGGTACAAATTTATACTAATTTGCCCCATTTGATTGGACAGTTTTTATAATTATAAGCACACCTATAACTGTTTTCCCTTAATGTGGGAAAATGTCCAAATAGTTTTCAGAATTTAACCATGAATTCTTTTATATTAAGCAGCTTAATTTTGTAGCTATAGTTTTTATGTTAATTGAAAGCCCACTCTTTCATTTTTTTCCCTCAGAACTTCAATCAACATCAATCAACTTTTTAAAGTAGATCAATCCAAGATTTTCAAATCTTTGTTTCTGCAACTCCCTTACCTTTGAAACCAGTTGTATGAATGTTCTTTAAACAAGCATCTGCTTTTGTAATATCATTTGTCTTCCTAACATCTGTCAGTCTGACTAAGTGAACAAATTACCCCTCCCCACAAATTTAGGATGTATGGAAGTGAAAATTTAATTGGTGGGGGAGATTTTGTGGTTTTAATCCATTTGCTTGAGTACTTTTATTGAAATCCAATGTTATCTAGTTATAGTAAAAATGTATTTTGGTATGAGACATAATTTCATTTTGGAAAATGTGCACATGACACTTCTAAGTTAAAATTATACTTGGCATTTATCTAAAGGACTAAGAATTAAACCCTGACCAGGTGCTATACCTTTTAACTTTGAAAACCCATCCCAGCTTCCTGTTTAAACCTCATATCCAGGCAGGTCCCCATTTGCCCCTGGGCTTTTTTCCCTGGACATTATAGCACCCCTACTTGTGGCATTACAGGCATGCAACGCCCTTTCTCTTTTTCCCTAAAGGTCCATCTTAAATGCCACACCGCAGTTTCTCTGATCTTTAATCAGACCAGTTGCTTTTCCTCCTTTGTTCCTGTTACACCTAACACATCATTATTATTATAGTAGAAGGCATGTTACATTCTCATTATTTGCTGGTGTGGCTATCTGGCATTCATGGTTGCTAGTTTACTGTAGTCAGGGCCCTGTGCTATTTATCCATACTGCTTCGCAGATCAGGCATTCAAGAAATGTTTGTTGAATAGAATTGAGGTATTTGGACAACCTGGACTTGTAAGTGCTAATTGTTTTCAGGAAAGACATTTTCTCAACAACTTCCCAATCTAAAGTTTATACCATCATTTCCTGAGTATTCAGTTGTATGCATATAGGTATATTATATACTTTCCTTCTTATCTTAGCTGTTTAAAAGTAAACCTATTTGTTTATAAAATTTTATAACTATTACTTTTCAGCACTTGGAACATGATGTAGAAGATCTGATTAACAATAAGAAACCTTTGGCTAAAAGAAAATTTATAAATTGCCTAAAGATTTCATTTCTTATGACTTTATTAAGGATTAATCATAAAATTGCTATTTATCCCGAAGTGATGAAAAAGTCACACATTAAAAATTAAAATATTTAACTGCATTGCTAGTTATCCAGAATTCTGAGAGAAAATAAGATAAACATGGTGGCAGTCAGCTTAGGTCATATTACATACTCCTTTAGTTTCATATTACATTGGACATGGGGTGATGATTATAACAAAAGTAGCCTTTACTTAATACACATAAAGTTCAATACAGCTTAATAGTATACATGAAGAACATAAAAAAATACATTAAATTGACCTTGCACCATCCAAAATCCTTGTTTTTGAGACAAAATCATACATAGTCAATTTTTTTTTTTTCAGTTTCAGAAGCTGGTAGATGAAATCACAGTTGATACTTTTGACAATGTTTGAAAGGTTGTTTTTTTTTTTCTCATTTGACATGCAGCAAGGACATATGGGCGAAGGAGAGGTAACATTACTGTTTCTAACTTTTGACTGTCTCAGTTGTAATTTGGAGAGACCCAAGTTGGCTCAATTTTTTACCCTTGTGGCGGGGAAGGGGAAGGGGAATAAAAGATAGTTTTGATCAATCCATATTTTATGTGTTATAGTTAACATTATAGATAATTCTAATTTGAAGGTATCAATGAGCTCTAGAGAAATTATCAGAAAAGTAGGATTTGGATTTGAATAAAAATAATTTGCCTATGTTATATTATAAACTCAACTAATTTATAGCTGAAGATTTTCTTCCCTTTTTTTTTCTGAAAGAAATTTCTTAGAAAAAATTAAGAATTTTGGAAAAGGAAAATATAGTCTGATTAGTCTCAATGTGATTATATTGGAGGCTTGAGTATACCTGAATCACATCTACTTTTTGAACAAAGCATAATAAAGGAGATTTGGTTTAAAATGGGATTAGCTAAATAAATGAATATAAATTACAAAAATTGGGGCGGGGGAACTCTCAAAATTTTACTGTCTAATGTCCTTGATGTGCCTGAACAAATCTTATTTTTGCTGACTGTAATGCTTTTGCCTTTTCATAAGAAGTAAATTTGTTAAATAGCTCAGTTTAAAATTGTAAGTGATTTTTTAATATCATTCAGGAAATATACAATTTTATAGCTATTTTTATCTTCAGTATATAAATCTTTTGAGCTATGGTATTATAGTATACATTTCTAAGTGTGTACTGTTATTATTTGTGTTTAGTAATGAAAGTTGAAAGGAAAGCAAGTGTGGTAACAAAAGGACACTAGAATGTTTCTATAAAAGGGGAACACTGAAGGTGCATTTCTGTAGGATCCATGAGCAAATTCTTTATGTAGCATCTGAAAGTAAATGGACAGCCTGAAAAGTAACAAAACAGTGCTTGAGAGATCCTGGGGATATGTGTGGCTTTGTTTTCCTTATGACTTAAAAGTTCATATTTTGCTGTTAAGTAAATGTGGGGACAATATTAACCACATTCACATCTCTGGTCTTCCTGCTTATATATTCAGTACGACAGGATTTTTCAAACACTTAGTTTAATGGCTAGTTTTTCTAATTAATAGCATGTATAGCAACCGGTAATTACTTAACTAAAAGGGAATATATCCTTATTATGTCTAAAAATCTCAAATTGTGTAATGAATTGACATTATAGAACTCATTCTGTAATGTCAGTGTCTTCATTATACACAATGAAGTTGCCTAATAGCTTAAGTAGTTTTGGACTATATCCCATTAGTTAAAGTAAAACTAAGATGAGTGCTCACTTTAAAAATCGACTTGTTCGTTTTAAATACCTCCTTAGAGGAAATTGTACAGGCTATATTAATGCTTTTTTAAAAAGTGTAAGTGATATAGCATCTGATAGTCAAGTTTACTGCTCAGTGGACTTGTCTAGGCTGCCAGTAGCCGTAGGCCTGCCAAGGTCGTGCATTGTGCTGCCCATTGCTTTCAAAAGACCTGCTCTCTCCTGCCATACTTCCATTTCACCTCACTGAAGCTTCTGGATCCCAATGGGATAGTGGAGCATCCCTCTATTTAACCATGAACTTTTTCTGTCACCCAATGGTGACTTTAAGGTGATGGGAAATCAAGAGCTTATCTGTGGATCCTATGTGTTAGTAAGAAAATAAAGCAGCAGCTTTGAGCTTTGTATTCCTTGAGTTTTGTGCAAGATAATCACCAGCAAGGAACGTTTTCTGTTAGCTTTGTTTTCCTGCTTTCTATTGCAGGTCAGTCTTCACTGTTTCCAATGGAAGATGGATTTTTGGATGATGGCCGTGGGGATCAACCTCTTCATAGTGGCCTGGGTTCACCTCACTGCTTCACTCACCAGAATGGAGAAAGAGTGGAAAGATACTCTCGCAAGGTGTTTGTGGGTGGGTTACCTCCTGACATCGATGAAGGTATGCCCAGACTGGCATGTAGTAGGTAACTCATAGACAATGGTTGCTGTTATTGTTATAATCATCTTGTCTGGCTTCAGGTTTTTTGTTGTGATTGTGCTGCTCTTTTGCCATGTATTCCTGTCATAACATATAAGTTCACAGGAGGACGGGGAGTAGGACTTTAGAAACCAGCTGAAACAAATGATTGAAAGAAATGAAAATAAGTAAAGGTCATTGGAAAATTTCTCAAGAATTCTGTTGTGGACAAACAACAATGCTAATTGTGTTTTTGTCCATGTTTGTGCTGTGCTGGTTGAATTTAATGATGTATTTTTCTGTTTCTTCCTTACCTTTTGTGAGTACACCATAAATGTATATAGTTAATTGCTTAAAGTTTAAAATATTAGATGAAGGAAGAACTTTTGAAAAATGCAGCTAATAGTTGTAACAAGAAAAGGGATCTTAAGGGAGTCATATTCTGTGAATATATTTTCACTCATCAAATATTTACATGCTTTCTAAATACCATGGGCTCTTCTTAGGCTTGTTTGTAGCAGTAACCAAGATAGAAAATCGCTGCTTGCAGAGAGTTTACATTCTAATGGGGAACAGCAGATAACAAATGTATAAACGTGTAAGAAAATATCACAGAATAAGTGTTAAAAATAAAGCAATGTAATATGATATGTAGGACATGTGATGCAGGGAATCTTCGTTGATTAGGTGGTTAAGAAAGTCCTCTTTCAGGAAGTGATATTTGAGCTGAGACTTGAATAAGAAGCCAGTCATGCAAAGATTTAGAGAACTAGTTGGCCAGCTGTATTTAATTCATCTGTGGGTCTAAGTGATGCAAATAAAAATCAAAGTAACCATAAGCATCTGTATATCTGTGGTTGCTTTTTTCCTTATTTATCTTATCTTGGTTTCCTGATGGGAAATAAAAATAATTAGTTTTATAGAAAATAGAAGAGTTTGCTCTAAAAATCTATAAGGTATAACAGTAAAGTTTAATAATTTCCCATGCAGACAGAGATCAAATGGATTGTGTCACTTCATTTTCCTTCAGATGATCAATCTTTTTGAAGGTTGAGACAAAAATAGTTTCAAAAAGTCAAAGATTGAAATAAATACAGAGTTTTGTGGTCTACAGTGAAATGCCTTGCTCCTGGAAGCAAGCTAAAATTTCAGGTAGACTGAATCAACGCTAAAGGGTGGGGTGTGTTCACATTGTTTGTCCTGGGCTCCATCTGGTCACAATAGTGGTTGCTCTTATTGAGTTCCTGGGTGTGTCCTTCTCTCTTTCTCTCTCTCCCCCCCTCCTTTTTTTTTTTTTTTGGCCAGAGTTCTTATTTTCTTTATTATTGTGGATGTTAGATTTTTTTGCTCTCTCGGGTAAAAGCTTTAGCTCTCCTGAGCCCCAGATGGCCTATAATGAGTAAATCCTATGCTTACATCCAAAAGAGGAAAGAAGACTGAATTTTAACTGACTTTGCTTGGGACTACTCCTCCTCTGGCCTCGGTAGTCTTTATCTTTTTTGAAAATTATTGAGCAATCTGAATTGTACAGTTTCAAAGTAAATTTGACCAATTTGGTAAAAGAGGTGGTTTAAATTGAACAAAATTAATGGGAATCACAATATTCATCTTGCTTTATATGTAAAGCCAGGCATGTTAATAAGTTAGTAGCAATTTAGGTAGACAGGCCTTTCTACTGTGATATGACATGTATACCTGGAGAATACTGTGTGCTGTAGGATTGTGCACTGAAAATTACAGGGTTTATGGGCAAAATAGGGTTAGAGGCAGATCATTTAAAACCTAATGAACTTTGTACTGGAAGTGTTAGCAGAACAAGAATTAGTATCTCAGAGATAACTTGGACAATTCAGTCAGGTAGCTCAGCTTGCTTAGAAGCTGCCTCAAGCACAAAACCAATACAGCAGAAATGCTGCTTGCAAGCTTAGAGGCAGTGCATGTAGAAACGAACCTCTGAGCATGCTAGGAAGTACAAACTGAGGAGAGAAGAACCCTTCAGGGTTGGGGATACATCTCTCTGAAGGGAGAACCCTAGTTGCCTTGCTCATTTTCAGTTTTCTTGTAAAGGCGCTGAAAGCGCTGCTGCCTACACATCAACCGAGCTGGGGCCTTTTCTTCTACTGGTGAAAGTTATATAATTCTGCTTTCATTCTGCTAGCTCACCTTGCCTAGGAAAATTCATTTGTGAAGCAGTACAACTTTCCAAGTTACACTGACACCATTCCCCTATTTACCAATCTCACCTGAGCTAAATGTTACCATAGAAACAGGTGTTGTAGCAGAATAGAATGTACTGTTTTTGGAGATGAAAGTCGTTCTACCAGACTGGAATTTGAACATATTTCCAACTCTTTTATGTTACTCTGTTCTGTCCTACTTGCAGGTCTTAGTTATGTATATGTGCTTACCTATTCTTTTTAGAACTTCCTTGGAAATTTATTTTCCTATAGTCTGTTTGTTAGTTGTCCTGCTATATTGTACAGCCTAACTTGCATCACTTAAAGTAGTAGTAAACTGTGATCAGGTCTTTGCTACCCATCATTTCCCTTCCCTTCCTCACAAGGTTCAGCAACTTTGGTGTCCAAGAAAGTGGGTTGGCAAGGAAGGCAAGGGTGCCAGGTGGAGGGGGTGTGTGTTTGGTATGTGTATGAAGGGGGTCTGCTCAGAGGCCTGAGCAGCAGTGTACATGGTAGCCAAATCTTAGTTTCTAAATACCTTTTATTGATGAAAGGAACCAGGACTTCTTGGGGGAAAAAAAGAGATTGATTTTAGGGCTCAGGCTTAGAAAGAAGAAGGTGGGAGTCTGGGGTATCATCTTAGGTCAGAAAGTATGGAAGTACTTAAAGAATGATGGGAATATGTCAAAAATGATAGGACCAGGGACTCCCACTGGCCAAATCAGTGATGACATTGGGGGTAAATTAGGTTATCAGGGTAAATGAGAATCAGATTATGACTCATTGAATACAATAGGCCCATATGGATATAAATAAGGGAAGAGCCTTCCTTAGTGTATAATACTAACTAGTAAATGTGAAAGGAATTATGGAAATAGATAAGCATTTGGCAACTACCATTATGGTAGTTGATATAGACAGAAGTTTTCAATGCATGCCAAAGCTGATAAGGGAGCAGGATATTGATGCATAGCATAGTACCTCTGCACCCACCAAATACTAATAAATACAAAGAGGGGAATGGTATACTTTAGTGAGATACCCACCTGACCAGGTGGTCACGATTAGCATGCCCAGTGTGGGACAGGGCGACTCAGTCACAGTGACTTTCCTGTTTCATGAGTCTGTCCCTGAGGACACAGAGTACAGAACCAGATTGAGAGTCATACTGCAGAATGAATGGCCTGTGTATTTTAAGCCTGCAAAAGACAGGCAAGAATGGGGAGCTATTCCAAACTGAACTTTCCAAACTGAAAAGGACTGATGCTCTAGGGACGTGACAACTAAATGCAGCATGTTTTGGATAGGGTTGTGGATCAGGGGGAAAAAAAAAAAAAGGAGATATATTCGAATAGTTTGACATTTGGATGGATTCTGTGAACTCAGTAGAATGGTATCAGTGTTGATTTCCTGGTTGAAAGAGTTTTATGAGGGTATATAAGGTAGTGACCTTTTGAGCAGTTGCGTTTTGGGATTATAGAGTCTCATATCAGAGAAAGATTGATTCATGCACACACACAGACAGAAGGAGGAGGAAGGAAATAGAAAAGGAAGGTGGAGACAGCACATATGTAAAATATTAATAGCTGCAAAATCTAGATGAAGGGTGTGCAGCTCTTTGTACTGTTCTTATAAATAGTAGATTTGAAACTGTTTTTTTCTAAACTACTGTCCCAAATGATCACAGAAATATTTAAATCCACTTTTTTTTTTTTTGCTTTGTCATTCATTAGATGAGATCACAGCAAGTTTCCGTCGCTTTGGCCCTTTGATTGTGGATTGGCCTCATAAAGCAGAGAGCAAATCCTATTTTCCTCCAAAAGGTAATTGCCAAGATTCTATATATATGTGCTGTTTATCTTATATTGTTTAATGAATACTAAAATTTTTCATTGTTAAACCTGTATTTCCCAAATACGCCTTGAAATTTCCACCTAATACCTATTTTCAATTCAAATATAGTTTTACCCCAAAAGATGTTTTAAGATAATACCAAACTGATCTTAATGTTGATATTATCTAACTGTGGGTGGGAATATTTAGTTTTAATTTTCTCATCTTTTCCATTCTTTTTTTTCCTTCCTTAGTTTTATTCTTCCTTTATCTTGAAGACATACGAAAACGTAAGAAAACATACAAGCCTTTTTTTTTTTCCTTTTTTGACAGGCTATGCATTCCTGCTGTTTCAAGATGAAAGTTCTGTGCAGGCTCTCATTGATGCATGTATTGAAGAAGATGGAAAACTCTACCTGTGTGTATCAAGTCCCACCATCAAAGATAAGCCAGTAAGTGCAGTCTAGCATGAAAATAGCTTCTTGATTTTGCTTCCATTCATCAGCTCTGACATCCACAGGCATCTTGATGTGTCTATTAATTGACACATTTAGAAGAAGAGTCAAAATGAACAAGTTTCATTACTGTTGTCAAGCTCCTAACAATAGCACTCTATTTGTGCTGCTTTTTTTTTTCATTGAATTTTTGCTTAATTAATATATTGGTAAATCTTTACTATTAAAAGGCTTTACTTGATAATGCATTTGATGAAGTGGCTGAATTTCTTCTGAATAGTAAGAACTCAAGTTACATGTATATGTATGTCTTTCTTTCTCCTTCCTCTCTTTGATCAAGGTATCATCTAGTATTGTCCTTACCTTTTTGCCTATGGTACTCTTCCAAAATAAAATGAATTGCGTGTGTACATATATGTACATTACATATGTGTATGGTTTTTTTTTTTTTCTTTTTGGAGAAATTTTTCTTTATCATAAAATTTAGTCTTTAGGAATAGTGCATCTGACCTGTTTTGACTAATCTGGTAAATCAGGAATTTATTATCCCTCAGCCTAGGGATGAAAGGAATTGTCAGCAACCTCAGATAAAGCAAAAATTTGTAGAGCTCCTCTTAGTGTCTTGGGCCTATCCCAGAGTTCCTGTGGCCTAGACTCTTTCTACTTATGTTCCCAGTCAATCCTTAGGGCTTTGTTGATGTGCATATTGGGAATACCCCATATCAACCCATAGCCTTTGGTGTGGGCATTTATTACAATGAACAAATGCAAACAATTAAAGTGGGGTGAATGGTTCTTGGTTGACTGAACTAATAGACACATGAAGTGTTTTATCATTAATATTTTTACTTGGAACTGCTTTTGAAATAATGCAGCATATTTGCTAGTGTACTCATCAGCATCAAATATGATATTAAATTTGAATTTTGTGTATATTGAAGGATTGGGTAGGATAGAGGCTCAGGTAAACTTGCAAACAGCTAATTAACTTATAGATAATTAAAGACTTATGAAGCTATTTGGTGTATAATAAGCAATTAAATTGAACTTTGCACCTTGGCTCAGTTTGCTCTTAAATGTGAAATGAAGGGTGAGATACACTATTTTTAAGTCATTTCTAGCTTTACAGCTTTGTTGATTTGTAGTGATGTGAATTATTGCCTTTAAAAAAAAAATTCTACAATAATTTTAAATGTCTTTCCCCCCTATAATTTTCTAAATTGAAAATGAGACATTTTGTTTGCACATACCCTAGGTACAAATTCGACCTTGGAATCTCAGTGACAGTGACTTCGTGATGGATGGTTCACAGCCTCTTGACCCACGAAAAACCATATTCGTTGGTGGTGTTCCTCGACCATTACGAGCTGGTATGATTTAAGCAAACTAACAACCCTCTTTATCCTTTACTGTCCTTGCATTATTGCCTAAGAATGAGAGTTGTAGAATCAAAATGTCTGGGTTTGAATTTCTGTGCTCTGCTCCCAGTCAGTAGTCAAGTGATCTTAGATAAGTGGCTGGATTTCTTTAATTCTCAATTTTCTCATCCATCAAGTGGAGTAATAAGTGTATCTACTTTATTTATTTTTTTAAGATTTATTTATTTATTTATTTATTTATACAAGCACTGGGTATAGTCAGAAGCGCAGGAGGGTGAGAGAATTCACTAGAGCCAGAGAGGGGAGCAGAACAGGCAGAAGGACTGAAGTACACTGCTGAGGGGAGCAGCGGGCGGCAGCAGGAGAGGTCTGTGCGCCATGTGGGACCCTCCTCCGGTAGCCAGGGAGCAGCCGGGGATTGAACCGGCGCTGCAGAGGCTGCGGGCAGCTTCGCAACCCAGCGCTCAACCGCTGCTGCGCCACCGGGGAGGCCCAAGTGTATCTACTTTAAATAGAATTGTTTTGAGTGTTGAATGAGACAACAAACACAGAATGCTTAGTGTAGTGCTCACGAACCTAACGATCACCACTTTACACTCATCATCCCTTCAGGAGTAGATTAATGTGTTGCAATGTTGCATGTTTGTTTCTCACATCCTCATGTGTTCATCAGCTGTTTACTATGCTCTGAAATACAGTAGGATTCTCACAGTATAGTGTATTTCAGAGTAGTATACCAAAGAAGTTACATCCCCCACCTTAAGTAACTTTAGGTTTAAAAGTGTAAGAGAGATAAAAGCATAAGATAAAGACAAATGTAGTTTTCACAACTGTAATATTTTACATGGAAGAAAATACATTCATTACGTAAGCTTTTATTAAGAACAATTAGCAAATAACCTGACTGTGGGGGTTTTGGTGGAGGTAAACTAGAATGACCCCCAAACAAAGAATCTACTAATCAGTTTTCAGTGTTCAGATGATTATTTCATATAGCAATACATTGCTAATTAGTAAATACATGGCAGTAGCATGCTACAGAGGAGACAGGTCAGTGTGCCACCCAGCATTGTCATCACTTAACCATCCATGACCTCAGGTAAATTGATCATTCTTTCCATCTATGCCTCAGTTTCCCAGGGAAATTAGCACTTACTTAATTAGGAGGGTTGTTATAAAGAGAACACATGTAGAATGCCCAGCAGAGCACCTGCTCTCAGTTAAAAAGCAAAAGACAATGGGTTGTAATAACAACTTTGATTTTAGGAATGACACACACTCAATACAGATGAACTGCTTTTGATGAAACCTTTGGTGAGCCAGATAAATTTTCCTGATTTCACATACCCTCTTTGCTTCTTTCTCATTTAGTGGAGCTTGCCATGATAATGGATCGGCTGTATGGAGGTGTGTGCTACGCTGGGATTGATACTGACCCTGAGCTGAAATATCCAAAAGGAGCTGGGCGAGTTGCATTCTCTAATCAGCAGAGTTACATAGCTGCTATCAGTGCCCGCTTTGTTCAGCTGCAGCATGGAGAGATAGATAAACGGGTAAGTCCTAGATCACATTCTGGAAATTTCTAGATGTAACCCTCAAAAATGTATCATCACCAAGATTAGAATGAGGAAATTCTATATGACAATAAATTGACACTTACAGTTATGCCTTATAGGACCAAAGCAATGTATGCTCTGTAATACAACTAAGAAATTCCTATGAATGTCCTCTATCTCTTAGTTTTTTGAGTAGCCTAACCAGAACACTCACTGTCTCACTGTAACCAATTTACTTGGTCAATTTAATTTCCTAAACTGTCACCTCCATTTACTCATATATTCAGTTAGTCCATCATTTGTGTTATATCAAGTATACAAACATGAATGCCCTGGAGAGCTCCTATTTTCCACTCTGCTAGGTAACAAATAATTGAATAAATTCACTTCCAGAATTGAATGTCTTAGAAATATTTCTTTGTAAGAAATGAAGTAGAAGAAATCATAATCTTTTCATTTGAAGTCTATTCCACCACCTAAAATTAGGTACTAATTAGCCTTATTTCCAACACATCTTAAAATTCTTCTTTGTTGGGTTTATCCTCTGAATCAAAAGGCTGGAGAAAACCTCAGAGAGCGCTTTCCTCTGTTGTATTTGAAACTCTATATTCCATTATGTGTCTTATTTCTTGGCATTCACAGATTTCTCATCATTCTGTTTCATGCGCTTAACAGATGTTTTAATGCCTAGGACAAGAAGTTCCTGTGCTCATGAGTTTATGTTCTGGTAGATTGAATGCTATCTGATATCAGTACTACTCCAAGTGTGGCCTATGAACTGGCTACCACTCGGCAAATTGTTACTTGCTGTGGTAAAATAGGAATTTACACCAGAATGTGAATCAGCTCCATTAGCAAGCATGATGAGCACGATGGTTAGTTCAGCTGACTTTTTTTTTTTTTTTATAGAAAGACCTTGGTAAAGGATGGCAGCCATGTATTGATTTACATGCTGGTGTAAGCCCCTTTCATGGCAGACTGGCACTTTCATCAGGACTGACTTAGATGTCCAACACTCTAGGCATTGTGCTCAAAGAAGCCTTGATTGATGGATTGGATTGTGCTGGTCAGGATGTAGAGGCTATCCAGTCACTAGAGGTTTATACCCATTGCTCATATTCCCTATCATGTGCATTCTACTCCAGCAGCAGTGGCCATCTTACCATACTGTGAATATATTAAAGAAAAAGGTATAGCTTCAATTATAAGTGGAGGAAGCAGGGAGGGGTAATTGCAGCATTTGTTAACACAGCTACTTCATTTTTATTCCCTCTAAAAAGTGTCCATATCTTAGTCAACTGTCCCTCTTGCCTCACTGCTTCATTCCCACATAGACTTCAGAATCGTATAGTTAGTCATTAGAAATTCTGACTTAATTTGTCTTCCGCTGTGATCAAAGTCTTTGACGGGTATTCTTGTCATTCTGAATGTCATGGAATGGCCTTCAGGGCCAGAAGTCTAATGCTCTAGTTCTGTCTTCTCTCCCTGCCTTCCATGTCACTCTTCTTTTGTTCATAGCTAACCTTTGTCAGGGTTACTTGTCAGAACTGGATGGCACCAGTGGTGGTGATAGCCTGACATCAGGGAGTTTCAACCACGCATCTCTCCAAGACTAAAAATAAACAACTCTTCTAGCTGGTGAATTAATAGCCAGGTTATTTTTAATGCTTGAGAGGCTCAAATGACAGGTCGGTGTATTGAACACTGGAACAGGCCCAGTTTAATAAATTCACCTCTGACTGTTGGGCTCAAACATACCATTGTTAGTTAGCAAGAACAAAGCACAGTTTTAGATTGTGAGTAATATGCTGCAGAGCTAGTTTTCCCAGAGTTCCAGGTTTGTGATTATCACCCAAACTGTGTGCACTGGAAATAGAAACCATGAACCAGGCTTGATTACAACTCAGAAGCTTGTGACTCAGACGTCAGGCATCTTCCCTCTCATTTGAATATTGAAGTGCTATTTTGTGGAACTTGGAAGCTCTTTGTTGGTTTTGTTTAAATTATAATTCCACATATGACAAAAATTCAGATCCACTAATTAAAATGGCGGTTTTTGTCTCTGAAAAATCCTGCAGGCTTGTCTCATAATGTCCTAGTCTAAACAGTTGGCTTTACTTTATTGTTTCTGGTGCAATCCTGTTTTCCTGTGAGAAGTGTTTATTTATATAAAATGATAGGCATGAAAACCTTACCAGGTTCTTGGACTGTCTTTACTTTGGGAAAGGGATTATTGACCCTTCCCTTTGGGCACCATGGCACAGTGGGTGGAAGTGTCCACAGGGTAAGAGTCACCTGGTCCATTCACTGAAAAATGTAAACTCCTTTCTTTTATGTTTGATTGCAGGTGGAAGTTAAGCCATATGTCTTGGATGATCAGCTGTGTGATGAATGTCAGGGGGCCCGTTGTGGGGGAAAATTTGCTCCATTTTTCTGTGCTAATGTTACCTGTCTGCAGTATTACTGTGAATATTGCTGGGCTGCTATTCATTCTCGGGCTGGCAGGGAGTTCCACAAGCCCCTGGTGAAGGAAGGCGGTGACCGTCCTCGACATATTTCATTCCGCTGGAACTAAAGGATAACTACAGTGCTCATTTTCAGGCCTCAGAATAAGTGCACTCTTCTGTTAATTCTGACCCCTTCCTCAACCTCTTCACTCTGGCATGTCCTTTTGTAGCCGTCTGTAACTTAACAGTAGTATAATGAAAAGAATGACCTATAATATAGGTGTTTTGTAGATTCTCGTGTCACTGAAAACAATATGTATGAACTCCTTTTTCATATTGTCATCATGTTGTGTGGAAGTTTTCTTCTCTTGTTCTGCTGGAGACCAAGAGGATCCAGACTTCCTGCAACATTTTCTTAGAGGAGAGAGAGAAATATTAAAAGAGAAATGAAACAATAGAATATTTTGGGTTTTTAATTAAATTATTGTTAATAATATAACATATAAGAATACTTTTATTAAAATAACCATGCAACAAGAACACTATCAGTCTACCCTGACACAAATTTCCCCAGGGAAGTGCTTTTGCCTTTTCCTTTCTTTTCTTTCATCTTTTTGGCCTCTCTCTTTTCTCCATCCCCTTTTTATTCTTTTAACAGCAATGGAGGAAGTTAACCATTATTAACAGGAAAGAGCATGTTAAAGCAAACACAAATGCATGAGTGAGATTGAAGCAGCATTATAACAAATTTTAAGGGTTTCGAGGCAGAATATAATTTCATTATGCCTCAAAGTTACTACCACATCAGAAAAAAATAGTAAAGTAGGCAGAGCTAGGTTTATTTTCTTTTAAATGATTTTTAAAATTCAGAATGTAAAAATTGGGTAAATTTACTACTGAGGGGAGTGCACTTATTTATTTTTGAACGTACTTATCTGGTCACAGCCCCAGGAAACCTACCAAAGCTAGAATTAATGACAACTGGTGGGAAAACTAGCATTTCCTCTCCGAAAGAACAAATGTATAAATTTTATTTTTGATGTTATATATAACTCTATATCCTAATTTCCTAACACTCATCAGGTGTCAGCCTTTGCTCTCCATTTTGACATTAAAAAGAAGAAACAAACCAGATCTAGAGATACCTCAAGGAAATCATTTTTGATTTTGTGTTATAGTACATTTGTAGCCCAAACCGGAAGACAAAACCAACATACAAATTGGCCTCTGATTACTTACTTTTAGATTGGCTTACTTTTAGATTTAAAGTTACTTTGGGTATCCTGTAATTTAGTTGTAACATAGAAAATGAAAAAAAAAAATTAAAAAAAAGTTAAGTAGTTGCAAAGTGTTTTGCACTGTTGAACTAAGTAACTGTGTAAATCTGTGCAAAGGTACGTATGTTTATCTTACTCTTCCTATAAAATAACATTACAGTTTCAGAACTTAGCATGGGACATAGTCAGTGTTTGAAGTGCCAACTTCATCAAGTAATGCATGCTTTATTATAAATAAAATTCTAGCTTTGAAAGGCGTTATTATGTGTTGAACAGTATGCTTCAGGGGTAAATTTAAAATAGTCTCTTGAAGCCCTAGTCATGGAAGTAACTTTTGTTTTAATTGACATTCTCTTATTAAATGCCCTATCCACCATTGAAAGAATTATTCTCGGTGTGCAAAACATTGAAAAAAAAAAACCCAATGGCAATCTTGCTAGTTGTGCTACCTAACAGTACCATCTTGGATCCTTCAAAACCAAAGACTTGCCCCAGCACTACGGTGGAACCACCTGGCTGATGACCCCTACTGGTTCTCTTTAGGAAAAGCAGTCCTTTATTTTTAACACAGGCTTTAATGAACTATATACCTGTTAAGTTCCAAAGGTCAAAATGGAGGCATTTGCTGTCTAATAGTCAAACAGAGAAAGGGAGCTGCTTTTAAAGAATTCCCTGCAAATATTGAAAGCAGTCATGCGGATGGAGGGTGCTCTTGTGTAGCTGGTCAGGGACTTTTTTTCTTTTCTCCTGAACTACATAATTCTAATCGGAATGTTCATTTGCCTCTTTTTATTCTTTTCATTGCTTGTAGGTGGCTTGGGGTGTGCTATTGTGCTGTTCCTACTCAGTAAACAGGTGTGATGAGTTAACAAGAAATAACACTGTTTGAGAACTAGCTTTGAATAATAATTTTTCCCTTTGTACATGACCTGCTGAATTTCGGTACAGTGTTTTTGTAGCTAACTTATTTTGTCATGCACATAATGTATATTTGTTATGCACTACTTTTGTATATCTTGTTTTTCCAACAGTGAACATTTTTAGGCACACTTTTCACTGACGGGATATCTCTTTATGCAATACCTCAATTTTTCATATTGCAAAGAGTAGCTTTTTGTACTTTTATTACTGAGAGATCTTCATATACTTCATTTTTTAATATAAATAATTTTAATAAATTTTATTTTCTTATATTCTGCTTTTTATACATTTCAGTGCTCTGCATACATTTTAAATTATGAATGTTGTGCACTGGCAATGCTATTTTAGAGTCTGCAGAGAAGAGAAAGCATGTTGCTTAAACATCCTTCCCCAGCACCAGCTGTTGGTGTACCTATAATTTAAGAAATAGTCTATGTAAAGTCACAAATTAATGAAAAAAATTCGCATGAAAATGACAGATAACACTGTAGTTCCTAAAAAAAAATTAAATGCATAAGCCTAGGGTAGAAATTTAAAAAAACAAAATTGTCTACAGCTTCTTACTAAGTTTTTAAAATTATTCATAGCGCAGACATTTTTGGTGAATGTTTAGCCATTTTTAATATTAATAAATTGATGTTAAGTGTTTGATTCAGAGATGTCTGCTCTTTTAAATTATATATAAAGAAAAAAAAATAGCCTGCCGTGAGACAGGTGTGTAATGTTAGTATGCATGACTAATGTAAGAAATTGTTATTCTACTAATATTTACTTGTGATTGTGTGACAAGCGTGTTTACAGATTATTTGGTTACACTTCAATTTACAGGGCATAAACAATTATTATCTATTACTCTGAACTTTATTGATTACATGTCCTTCAGATTACATGGGATTGTAGTTGGGAGTTACCATGTAACTCAAAACATAATTAACATGTAATTAGTTTACAGATTTTAGGGTATCACTTCAATTTACCAAGCATGTAGTTCTAGCGCACTAGCATGGCACCAGCCATGTACTTACAATGTAGTTACAGAGTAATTACATGGTTATTTTTGCAATGTAAAATAAAGTGTTTCTGATTATTTTCTATGTAAAGGAATCCTCTCCCTGCTCCCTTCTGGTCCCCACGCTTTGGTATAATATATCTACTTCTCCATACACAGACCTCTGCAGAATGCAAAATAAAACTTGCAGTGAATGAATTTAGCATTTTATGAGAGTGCTGTTGGAAAGACTTGATAATTCACCCCTTTTGTTTTGAAGAGTTGAATCTTCTGTTCAAAGGTGATTTAAAACTTGAATGTGATGAATTGTGGCAAGTTAACTTCAAGTTATGTGCAATACTTATTTCAAACTTTTGAAAGATCTTTGCAGTGTAATTCTTTGTTTTTAATCGCAGACATTTAAAAATGTCATTTTCTACTGTTAAGAGTAATCCTCTTTCTTGCTGGTGTTTCTAAAGAAAAGAATCAGAAATCAATCTTTCTACTAATGTAAATTTGAAATTATTTTTAAAAATGGAATAAAAGAGGTTTTGGTCATTTGCTTTATTTTATTATCTTATTTTAAAGCTACTGTGATTGATAGCATTGTAAGAATTGGGACAATATTGTATTCAACTGTTTTATTTTTTATATTTTTAAAATTTAAAGTATAATTAGTTTTTATAATTTTCATCAGATTTTTGTTATATTTTTTGGAAGTGAAACTTTTAGCAAGTGGGTGTCTAGTTTTTACTAATCCCTAATGTTTTTTTCCCCAGTGTATTGCTCATATTATTAGAAGGAAAAGTTATTTAAGTATGTCAGTTCATTGTACTACTTGGCTGAATTTCCATATAGTTTTTACTGTGTATGGGGAGGTTGTAGTATTTATTATAGCATTTTAAATAAGGGTAATTCATTTTTTATTAAAGTCATTTTCACGTTAAGTTCCTATTTTTGTATGTTCTACTCTTAAGTTATATAACACAGTTCCTTTTTTAAAAGAGTTCATTTGTTGAAGTGCTAGTGGAAAATTAATGTTATTAAATAGTTTGCAAATGACTATTTATACCAGTATGCATATAATTTTTAAATATTTGTAATGTGAGATGTTGAATGAATAAAACTTTTAACTCAGCTTTCTTTTAATATACTGATTTATTTTCAATGTAAGTGGACTATGCTCTCCATGGTTGGGAACATAACATTTAAAAAGCATTTCGAATATAGCCCAGGGTCAAGGCAGAACAAAAAACAATATGAAAAGGTAGCCAGTCACCTAAGTACTAGCGACAAGTGTGCATTGCTGGCGTGGGCCCCTGCGCTGGTAGTTCACATGCTGCCCTGCAGAGGTCTTTTTATTTGTAGCCTTCAGTGTGCTTGCAGGGCCTGTACTCAGGATCTGAGCCTTCAGTCACCTGCTTAAAGCCAACTGTGCGATAAAAGTAAGGAAACATGTTTATTTAATAAGAAAAGTCAGTATCTTTGTGAGTCTTTGTCAGTGAAGAACCTTGATTTCTGGCAACTCTACAGGAGGATCTTGGTTACTCAGTCTCTTTTGACTTTCATCCCCCAATTCCTCCTTAATGTCTTGTGAATTACAATCCTCTGTGGCCTCTGGGGTTATAATCTCTAGAGTGTGAATTGAGAATCTTGCCTTTGATTTGGTCTACCAATCATGAGGAGTACACTGGGGTACTGTAACGTGTTAGTATTTATACTTTCACTGAGACTATCCCATTTTGTCAAATTTAATTTCTGCTCTTATCTTTAGTATGGTATTCTTAAGACTAGAAGCAGCAGTTCTAGTCCTGAGACAAATGGACTATGGAGTCCTCAGTTGTCTAAATCGCTTCTAGATCATCTTTCCCAAAAGTCAACTCTTCTTACTGTAGGGGTTCTGAACCCCCAGGAGTACCAGATCACAGAAACTCTGGCTCGCCACAGTCAAATCTTATCTGACAATACCCAAACTCCAGTGCTCAGTGAAGGACCACTGAGGACCCCTGGGGACATGGGAGATGTGGGTGGCAAATAATATGTTGCCATCCTTATTCTGAAGAATGCTGGGGTGGCATTGATACTGTAAGAGAGGGAGACGCAAGACAGTAGATTTAGTTTATTTCAGGAGGTATTTCCTTTAAGCAAGTGACAGGTCAACTCTGAGTGATATAACAAGTCTATCTTGAAGTACTAGGGTGGTGATTCTGGACAGGGTGTGAGAGGCTGTCAGAGCTGCATTTCCTTTTTTACTGGTAGTTCCCCTAAACCCACTCGTTCTTAACCATAACAGTCGAGCTATTTTAATAACCTCATTTGGGTTATTGGGTTTGTATCCATACCCAGTTCAAAAGGCAAATAAGCATTTTAGGAATTTGAGAAGTCAAGTCTGATCCAAAGTCATGGGGAAAGTAAATTCCTGATTTAAAAAGGGGACATGGCAAATGTCAATGAAGTGAATTGAAGGCTAATTTTTTTTCATGAAGTACATAGTGACAGAATATTATAATAAGCCACCTGTGCTTTTATTCTCCAAGAAGTGATCTTCAGAGCACTCATAGGCCACACCACAGAAAAGGACAAATAATAAAAAGTTATGTCATCAAATAAACTTAGGAAATGCGGCACCCTGTTTCTTGGGGAGGTCACAACACACAATTAGCTTATTAAACCTTTGAGAAGTTCTATAGTGAAGAAATTGATTTCCTTTATTTAAAGTAGCCCCCTCCCCAATTCCTTAGACCGCAGACTATTAACAGATAACACAGGATCCCATGAAACATACTTGGGATACATGCTCTACATGTTAGTATGGCTTCTGGTGTTCTTGGTGCTGTCCCTCCTTTGTCATATCTAGAGTTGTCACCTTCGTCCACATTTAACTTTATTGGGGTTCTACCCACGTGCCCAGCTTCTAACCTCTATTCCATTTCCAAGTCCTTCACTCCCTTCTCCCACTCCTCCCATGCCAGATTTTAAAAAAAGAAGTGGTTCTGCAGAATGAGCCATCACCTAGCAAAGCTATTTTGATTCTACTGCTTACTGGCTCAGACCAGCCCCTGCTTCTCACGAGTGTTACAAACACCTCTTCGCTTTAGGAACTAAGCTCCCAGTCAGCTATTCTGTCATATGCAGTCTACCTTTCTCATAATTCACATTTCCCTCTTCAAAAATGTCTCTTGATAAAGTTCCCCCCCGCACTGCCACCCCCACCCCACATTCTGAATATAAAGATTCCAAGCCTTGAATAAACTCTTAAGAATTCAGAAAACGAACATGTGTCCCTACTACCAACTCTTTATCTAGCAAAACCAATTCAGCCTCTTGGGAGAGAACATTTTGTTTTGGCACGCCTGAGTCTTGTGGAGATATTTTAAGTTCACATCATCTTCTAATCAAATTGGGTGCCGTTGGCTAGTTTGGATAAGTGTCTTATTGTAATTCAGTGTGGTGACCAGTTCGCCTCCAAGAAGTTAAAAATGAACAGCTGCTTCCAAATCCAGGGTGCTCGCAAACCACCCATGTTTTTAGTTGCACAGAATCTGATGGTGTGTGAGCAAAGAACGACTTGTGCGTAGGTGGGAGGGTGGGGTGGAGGGGGTGAATCAGGGTACACAAATGCCAAACGCTAAGCCTGAGCTTGCTTTCTCCTTTCATGGGTGTGCTATTTCAGCGAGCAGGGCTTTGGTACCATAAAAATGTCAATGTGATTGAGCAAATGTCATGATTTCCAACTCGTCTCCCAGCCCCCTCCAACACCAACAGAGAGAAGAAAAGAAGCACCCAGACCCAGGAACAACTCCACCCTCTCCCCCAGAACCCACTAGCGGCCATAAGGCATTTTAAACTAGTTCTGAAATAAGTTACCCAGGAAGAGAACTGGTGGTAATACAGATATTTGGAGCTGCCTGCAAGGTTAGAGGCACAAACTAAAGACTTGAGCCTCCTTGATTGAACAACTTGAGGCAACAAATGAGGGAAAAGTGAAATCCCCTTAAGTGTGCGGAGGTGGAGGGCGCATGATGTGGACCGGCCTCGGGCTTTCTGATCTCCTGATTCTGCAGTAAAAATGGTTTGGTTCCAGAGTCTCCCCCGGTGGCACAGCAGTTGAGCGCTGGGCTGCGAAGCTGCCCGCAGCCTCTGCAGTGCCGGTTCAATCCCTGGCCGCCTGGCGAGGGTCCCACATGGCACAGCAGACCTCTCCTGCCATGCCCGCTGCTCCCCTCAGCAGTGTATTTCATCAGTCTCTCTGTTCTGTTCCCCGCTCTGGCTCTGGTGAATTCTCTCACCCTCCCGCGCTTCTGACTGTACCTAGTGCTTGAATAAATAAATAAATAATTTTAAAAAAAATGGTTTGGTTCTGGAAGAGAAAACCAGTAATACTGATCACTTGTGGTGTGTCAACACCCCACACGTGAACCTGGTTAACTTAACACCCCCACGGGACCCTGAACAACGTGAAACCATCTCACGGTGAAGCTGGCTGACTTGCAAAGCGGCACAGCTAGTATGTGGTGAGAACTGGATTCCTACCCTAGCTACCAAATTCCCAGTACTCCCCCTTTAAACTTCTCTGCTGCTGGAGTGCCCGGGATAGGATTGTTTTTATTAGGTTGGGTTTTGTTCTTAAAATCAAAGTTTCATTTCTAAACCTAATCTGGATGCAAGCACCTGAAAGTATATACAAATGGTGAAACAAGAGTTGCAAGAGAATATGAGTTTCGGTTGTGAGTCTTGAAATGTGGTCACTTGTTCCCTAAGAACCAACGCTTGGTTCAAGTTATAGAGCTGGGTAGTAGAGGTCAGGTGGAAGCTTTCCAGCCTGGCGAGCCTGCGAGACTCAGGTTTACCTCTACAGTTCCTGTTGGCCTTATCTGACCTCCCTTAAACATGTATCTGTGGTTCAGTGGCCAGACTTGGGTGTACATTCCAGGAGTGGGCAGGCAGTTGAAATGTCATTGCTATTGACTTTGAGGAACTGCAGACTGCACTGACTTAGGAAATTGTCAAGAAGTTATACTGAAATGATACTATTATCAAACCCACCGAAAAATCATTTGCCTTTGTTTTTGTTTCACAAAAATGTCTTTAACAGTAGCTGACAAACTATTCTTCATGATAGTTATGTTGTCTCCCAAATTGCCAGGGGATTGAGAAGTGGCCCAGTCAACCATAATCACCGGGGTGTCAGGAAAGGATGGGTGGATGGAGGGATGGAAGGAAGGGTGCATGGGTGGGTGGACTGATAGACATAAACATCGAAGCATATACATTGTACATCAGACCTTTTTTCAGATTAAAGGAAAATCTCATCAAAGAGAAAGGTTTAACTGCTTTCTGTAGAACTATAATTAAACAACACATTCTCTACAGAAATTGAGCCTCTTCTCATGCATCTCGTCCTTTGAGACGCTGCATGGTTTCTGTACTCTCACAAAAATAGCTCTGAAATCCAAAGAACCAGGGACAGGCTTCTTTCCTGGTGTGTCCTGTGAATTTTAAAACAGCACTGGAATATTTTGCTTCTGGACTGAGATGTCAGAATCATTAAAATAGATTAAAATTCTCTTCTGCAGAGAATTTTATATTCCTGATTTTGCATGCGTATTTAAAGAAAAAAAAGAGAGCTAGAGAAGAAGCATTTGCCATTTTTAGAGCACGGGAGCCCTGGAATGCTCAGCTTTGATCTTTGCGGCAGCCTGAACAGCTGTTCCTGAACAGATGTGACGTGACGCTGTACAGCCGGGAAGAACCAACTTGCAATTGTTTGAACATAGATTTGCAGCAAAACGTCCTTCTGTGGAAGACATTAAGGCCATCATCAAATACAGTTATCAGCAACTTCCTTTTACTTTGCTACCCAAGAATTCAAATATGAACAAAGACCAAACACAAATTCTAAAATTGGAAGGGATGCAAATGGAGATGCAGATACAGTCCCCTAAGGTGTCCTACTTAAAGTCAGAATCAGGGCCTCCCTGGTGGTGCAAGGAGTTAAATAAGCACAGCACTATGAAGCTATCCACAGCTTCTGCAGCACTAGTTTGAACCCCGCTGGGCCAGGGAGCTACCCACAAGCAGCAGACCTCTTCTGCCTCGCCCACTGCTCCCTTCACCAGTGTATTTCAGTCAGTCTGCCTGTTCTGTTCCTCAATCTGTCTCTGGTAAATCCTCTCCCCTTCCCAACCCCCACACCTCTGGCCTGTACCCCAGTTCTTGTATGCATAAATAAATACATCTAAAAAAAAAAAGGTCAGGATCAGCTTCCTCCCCAGGAGGTGTAGGGCAGGGAAGAAGGTGGATTATAGGAGAGTAGAGGAATGGGAGGGGCAGGAAGAGAGGATTCAATTATGAAACACA